GTGTGTGTGTGTGTGTGTGTGTGTGTGTGTGTGTGTGTGCCGGGGGGTTGTGCGACCCCCCCCCTACTAATCAATCAATCAATCAATCAATAAAAAATAACAAAAACAGCGTTCACCCCCTGTGTGTGTGTGTGAATGTGTGTGAATGTGTGTGCGTGTGCAGCCGAAGGGTGTGTCCCCCCCCCTTAGTAATCAATCAATCAACCACTCAATCAATCGTTTGTTTCGTTTTTTTGTCCCACACACCCCCACCCCCACCCCAAAAACAACCGTTCTTGTATATTTTGGGAGTGCTCCCTGTTTTTTTATCTCCCCCCATGAGAACCCCCAATTTGCCCCCCCCCAGTTTTTTTGTCTTTTCTTGCTTTTTCTTCGCGGATGGTGGGGTCGGGGTCCCTCCCCCAAGTGGCGGGAAGTTCCCAGGAACCCTCTTGTTTTTCCTTCGCAGGGGGTGGGGCCCGACCCCAATTGGCAGGAACCCTCTCCCCTCGGCCGCGGCGCGGCCGCTGCGGTCATGACCGCGGGCTTGCGGCCTTGACAAACGCTGGGGATACATAGTGTGTATATGTGGATATCTGACATTTCGTTAAAACTGACATTTTTTTTCTAAATTCACAAAAGTGGACTTCGTCAAAATTTCATTGCTCATTGGGTGAGAAAGTGGTTATCTCACGTTGACCATCTGATGTATCTCAACGTGCGTGAAGTACTGTGAAAATATATCCGAGGGATCACGACGCCCAACCATCAGATGGTCCCATGTCATGGGAGAAAAATAAAAACCGCTAAAAAATACCGTTTTTTGGGTACGCTCAATTTCGTGAATTTAGAAAAAAAATGTCAGTTTTAACCAACTGTCAGTTGTATGGAGAAATTCGTTTCTACAGTCTTCCCCCGAATACAACGTACAGTCATTATAGCCGAATTTGGGGCATCTTTCAGTCTAAATTCAGCTATAATGACCGGCATTGACCGTACGTTGTATTCGGGGGAAGACTGTAGCTTCTCCCCTTTGCGATTCCTCCATTAGCCACACCCTCTCTGGCCGTTCATTGCCATACCTCGGACCCCACAGTTCGGACCCATAGTTTGGAAGAGGCCACGTGTCTGCTGGGCGTGAGATCGAACTGCGGCGGTAATTATCATTGTAAACAGCAAACCATATGGATTGTGGACAAGCGTTGCCAAGAGCGGAACGAGCAAGAGATCAAGCGCCGACAAAGCATCTGACGAGCATGATTGATATGATTTGTTCCGTCCTCTTTGCGGCCAAAACATAACAAGTCTGCACCACATCAATATTCCAGAAATCCTCGTTTGCGATGATAACATCTCAAGGCTGTTGCCCCTTTGGAAAAAAAAGAGAAATCCTCGTTTGGTAGAACCAACCAGCTTCCATCGTCTCCCCGTTGCCGATAGCCTGTGCTTCATTCACTGAATCACATTCCTCCGACCCACCCACATTGTGGCAGAGCCCACCGACGAGAGATCAAACCACGGCAATTGCCCCGTTCCAATACATTGCTTCATGAAGTCGAGAACGTTCAAAACCACTACAGCAGTAACAGTATGCACAACATGCACGGGGCAGAGCTCCCGTTGTAATATTGTGGCAGAGCCCACCGACGAGAGATCAAACCACTACAGCAGTAACAGTATGCACAATATGCTTACCGAGGACAGAGAAAGCGCCACGCGGACGCATGACAGTATAATTACATTACGCTACTTAATTAACCACTACAGTAGTACTCGTTATGATTGTGAAGAAGAGCAAACCCTCTGCACAAAACCGCCAGGGATTGCCAAGAAGATAGACAAGGAACGATCGAAAGGCCATCTGCAAGCCCTCTGCACAAAGCCGCCAGAGATTGCCAAGCAGGGAGAAAAAGGAACGATAAAAAAGCCATCTGCGTGATGGGTATGATCTCTTTCGTCCTATTTGTGGGAAACCATAACCAGTCTGCAGCACACCCAGATCCCCGAAATCCTTCCTTCGGTAGAACCATCATTCCCCTGACAGAGTCTGTGGCTTCTTCTTCCGAGTCCAGCCCCCCATCGTATCCCCTACTTCAGTCTCGAATAATTGCTGACTCAGCGGCACACAGCCTTTGAATTTACCCAAGAGCCCTAAGCTTCCCTTCTCTGACTACTCTACAAGCAATTAATATCATAAATGCCGTTTGCACTCAAATTCCCTATTAACCAACTTCCCTGCTCCCCTCCAATCACCAAGTACCTGTAGGCTGGTAGGACGCAAACGTAAGAACAGGACAGCACAGCGTAGCACAGCACAGGAAAGGATGCACTGATGCAGTGCTAACCTCGAAATTTCCAATTATCTCGGCCACGGTCTGAAAGCACGTGCTCCTCGATCAGGGACACCGGTCCTCACGCGGTGACGTCTATTCACAGTGGGACAAACAACTTGAAGCCCGAACGAAACCGTTTCCACTGTCCTTCCAAGATTCTTCCTCACATGCTGCAGTCGTCTAATCCCAGACCTACCTTCCGATGTACTTTACAGCTCTGGATCGTAGTAACACAATCTCTCTGTGATTTCACAATCCAAAGACCTACCCATTGAACCCAATACCTAACCCTATGGCGCAAGCACAGGGCCGGGCCAAACTTACCCTGCAACCAGTTGCGTGCGGCTGAATGGTATTACACGCACGCATTGCCAACTGTAAGTGAATACGCGCGAGGATTTTCCTTTTTCCTCCGATGCAACGAGTTCAAATGCGGTGGTGCTCACGTATTAAAAAAAAAAAAAAAAAAAAAAAAAAAGCAAGGGGTTATCCCACTTCAGAGTCAGAGAAGAAAACGGGAAATCCCTGCACGAGACGAAGACGAGAAGCGAAAATGGAGACGCACAAGTGAGTGCAATCTCCAAAGAACTCGTCGTCTATCCGCTTCTCCTCCTAACTCCTCCTCCTGCCACTCCTCTCGTCGACTCTCCTCCCGCTACACAGGATCGCTAACCCAAACCCAGAATTGACTTAATCACTCCCGCCCGTTTTCATTAAACAGAGTACTAAAGGAAAAAACAGACAAGTCTTGATAAACACCGATCAAAAGAGTCGTGAAGAAAACACAGAAGACGTCCTAGTGCGAATGCTCAGCTCGGATCCCAAAATGCTCGGATCTCCAGCACGAGCCGTTGCACGCACGCACGCACGCACTGGCAGCAACGACTCGAAGGCATCATCAATGCGTCTGAGAAGGACAGCGAGCGCCCTGACCTGTAAGCAGAAAAGAGGTCGGCAGCCAACACATGGCCGAAAAAAAAATCAGAAGCTACCCAGCCGCGACCCTGATCCTATGTCTTCTCATCTCCTCCAAAAGAGACGGCGGGGCCCTCACGTCCTCTCTCAGACTGACGAATGGACACGAAGGACAAAACAAAACAGACCAAAAGGCAAAGAACGTCCTTAGTTGTACCGTAACGGCGAACGCCGGCCATACTAGGTAGCTTTCACATACGTCTCTCCCCCCTCCTCAAGGACATAATTTTTTCTCAACCGCCCAAAGCAGGTCAGCGAAGATAGGTAGTCCTGACCAAAGCCATGAACAAAACCCACTCCAGCGTGCACTAGTAGCATGTCCACTGCCGGTCTTTTCGCCAAGTGCATGTCATTGAAGACGACCAACTTGAAGCCATTCGACGGCACACTTGCATCCCACTTGCCGACCGGACAACCTCCTAACCCGACCCGAGTTAATGAGGAAAATCCGGACAGCTGGACCCCTCGGCTACACCGGTTAATCGACATAAATCCGGACAGCTGGACCCCTCGGTTACACCGGTTAATTGACATCCCACTTGGCACTTGCCAAATGGATTTTCCTCCTAATCCGAGTTAATGTGGAAAATCCCGGACGGCTGGACCACTCTTTTACACGAGTTAGTGGGGGAAACCAGGGCAACTGGACAAGTTCCTTACCCAGCGGGTTGATGGGGAAACCCTAGTAGACGACTACCGTCTTCCCTCGAACATAACGCACCCCGATAATGAATGTACAGAAGCTATATTTCCGGTGAGGTGCAGACAAAATGAGGGTGCGTTGTCTTCGGAAGAAGGCGGGTAGACAACTTGGTAACCCCGCGTCCATGGGGAAAGGGCGCGCAACTGGACAACCTCCTCGCCTAAGATAAGGGGAATGCATGTACACAGTTAATAGTTCAAAGTTCAAACGAGGAAAAAGCGAAAATTTTGGAAATCCGAAATGCAAGACGGTCGCCGTTTGCAGGATTAATGTGAGGAAGAATTTACATAGTTAGCTAGCTGATGTCACAGAGAGCACCTAACAACGAAACTATTTCGACAGAAGCGAAAAGAAAACGACGTTCAAAAGTAGGGAACAAGTCATAGACCAGCCATCGCCGGCGACGCCGGGTGAGAGTCGTCGTCGTCGTTCCTAACAGCCCTTTTTCTGCTAACCTCGGAGTAAACTGTTTCGAGATGGCGGCGGTTTATTACTAATGGAAGCGAGGCTTATAGACGGGTTTGTTGGAGGGGATGGGATCGAACTTGGGTGACGCCTGTCCTCCAAGCGTCGCCATAGCCTTCTTGAAAGAGTGGTCCAAGTCCTTGATGAGATCGCCCACGAACTCGATCCCGACACCCAGCTGTACGAGATCGTCCGGAAGGCCGCGGGTTTCTCGGACGGCCTTGGGCACATTGGCGTGGGACATGAAGCAGGGCAAGCTGATCAGCGAGCCCACGCTGCCGAAGCTCACAGCCTTCTGAAAGACCTCAACGCCGTCCGCGACCAGCTTGGACAGCTGGACGTCTCCGGTCGTGAAGCAGAGCACCGATCCCGCCCCGGAGCACTGCTTGAAATGGAGATCCCTGTCGCGGAAGCCGGGCAGCCCCAGATAGAGCACCTTCTTCACAAGCGGATGCTTCGCCAGCCACTCCGCGATGACCTGCGCGTTCTCCTGAGCCTTCCCCACTCGCAAAGACAATGTCTGCATGCCCCTCAAGATCAGGAAACTGTCGAACGCGCTCAGACACGCGCCCTCTGCGGACTGGAGAAAGTGGATGTCCTTGGCAAGCTGCTCCCCCCTGACCGCCAGGAAACCGCCCATCACGTCGCTGTGCCCGGACATGAACTTCGTCAGCGACTCCATCACGATATCGGCGCCGTGATCCAACGGCCTCGACAGTGCCGACGACATGATGCTGTTGTCCACCACGACCAGCGCGCCGGTCCTGTGCGCGATCTCTGAGATGGCGGCGATGTCCGTGATCTGCAGCAGAGGGTTCGTTGCGATCTCCAGGAACACGAGCTTGGTCTTCGGCGTCACTGCCGCTCGGATCTCGTCCAGATTGCTCGTGTTGGCGCGCTTCACCGTCACGCCCCACCGAGGGACTAGGCTGGTGAGCAGCCTGTCCGTTCCGCCATATATGTCATCGTCCGCCACGATCTCGTCGCCGACCTCGACCAGCTGCATCACCGTCGTCAGGGCAGCCATTCCCGTCGAGAAGCAGAACGCACGATCCGCATCGTGAAGCCGAGCAATGTGCTTCTCCAGCGTCGATCTCGTCGGGTTGTCGAACCGCGAATACAGAAACGAACCAGCCTTCGTCACGGAGGGAAGCTGGAAAGTGGCCGTCAGGTAAATGGGAGCGTTCTTCGCACCGTACGGATCGTTCTCGTCCTGGAAATGGAGAGCGCGCGTAGCGAACGCCAACCCATGGTGGTGGCCATGCGTGGAGCCGTTCGCCCTCACGCCATTAGAGCCTGCCTCACCCATAGCCGCTGTCGTCGATCGCCCAGATAAGCAAAATGGCCAACCAGCAGAGCGACCCCCGCCGTAGAAGCCGACCTTGCCCAGGAGCTCGATCAAGCTATTAATAGACTCCCTGCGAATCTACAAGGGGGACAAAAAGACAACAAAAAGAGTCCCTGCGAGTCGGGCGTCTCACCTTCCGGATGGCAGATGCGCTGGCAGGAAAACAGGTAGCAAGGAGCGGAATCAGCGAGGTGGGTCCCTTTCAAATTGCATCCCAATCAACCAATGCCGGGACGCGGCTATGACGAGAGAGACGTTTCATCGGCAGCTGCAATGGTGAAGTGGCGTGGAGTTAATTGTGGTTCTGTGGAACGAAGCGTAGTCTATCGAGGGGGGTCACAGAGGCACGTGCATACCGGGACGTTTGGGCGCAAGACGAAGCAAGCGGAGTACAGGATAACTCCGCTACTTCGGCTGCCCAAAACTGCAATACCGTTCGGATCGTTGCAGTGGCCCTGCTTACTTATACGGATGGTTGTAGAAGGGCTGCGCAGCAGTAATGGCGCCAACGTGGAGGTTGCCCGGCACAACTTGAATGCTGGTGGTCCGCGGGCGGTAATAATCACATCATAGGGCGACGGCTACATGGACCCCATGACAATCTCATGACAATCATTGGCGCGCCCATAACCGCAGGGACCCCTGTCACATTTTGTCCGCTAACGGTAGTAGGAAGATAAGGTGGCATCCTAAGATCAGGGACGTGTAATGACCAGCAGGGGTCACGTTCAATGGGAGAAAGTAAAGGCAACGCGAGAAGACGGACAAAACGTGATACTTCCGCGATTCGGACACACGGAGGGCGTGGAAGGCAGGACGGATTCGGCCAGGCTGAAGGCGCCTGGATGGGCGACCGCTATTTGTTCCGGCGAAACTGATGTGCATCGAAGCTTCGTTGCTTTGCCGAGCCCATCGACACCCATGAGCTGTTGACGGAGAGGAAAATTACATGTGTTGTACCCCGTTCAGAGAGAGAGGGGAATTCTGCGGCGTCTGCTTTTCTTTTGTTGGTGCTCGCAGACCGGGAGCATGGTCCCACTAGCAACGGGATAGGATAGAAAAGAGTTCGTGCGGCTGTTGACGGAGAGTGACCCATTTCCTGTCGTGCAGTACTCATAAGGAGATCTTTGGCCTGAAAGGCCGTCCTGTCCAGATTCGGCAGGTGAAAAAAAAAAAAAAAAAAAAAAAAAAAAAGGAGATCTTTGTTCGCCATGCCCGTGCAAAGAAAGCTTCCCTCCAAAATCTTTTCAATCCATTGGGGGTATACGTCCCACTCCCAGCGGTTTTTTTTCTCTTCTGTCCGGGGGCTTGGTCCCACTTGCACGGATTAAGAGATACTGACCGTAGATAGTAAAGATCAACGGCCGAAATCTCCTAATTTGCGCAAGTGGGACCTTGCCCCGGACCCCGGCCTCACTGTTTCATGGGCAGTATAATTATCTCACACAAAAGAAAAAGGTATACGTCCCACCAGCCGGGGGCTAGGTCCCACTTGCACGAATTAAGAGATACTGACCGTAGATAGCAAAGATCAACGGCCCAAATCTCCTAATTTGCGCAAGTGGGACCTTGCCCGGGGCCAAGACGAGGCGGCTTTGGACTGGCGTAGCTAAGGGGAGGTTCAACGTTGTACGCTCGACCCTGTCCCCCTCACCCTCCCGGGTGCACCCTTGGTTGGTGTCAGGTTGACAACCCACGAACCTAACCCCCAGCCCAGCGCGGTACACATGAACTGATATGATACGGTGGGTCTTTAGGGGGGTGGGGTACCTCGCGGGGGCCCGTCTTGAGGGGTAGTTCGCAGCCCGTAGGGGCTGCTCTTACTAGCCTTGTCTTTGTCGTGTTGTGTCGTGAACTCGAACGGTCTCTTGGTGGCTACCGGTGGCTTGCGTGTATGATGGTTGTTGTTGAGAGGTAGCGAGGAGGGGGGTTTGTGGTGGGCAACATGAGTGTGACCGGAATTCATGGGCGGCATCTGGAAGTTTGAGGGTCAGCCTCCGGAGACCAGTAGGTTGTATGGATGGGTCTTTCGTGTCATCTACGGGATTTGAGGTGTCTTTTTCTTTCTTTCTTCTTTTGTTTTCCAAACCAGGAGCCAATTATTACCTTTTTTTTTTTTTTTTTTTTTTTTGGTTGAAAAAGCTGCCTTCTGGGCTCTGGTCCCACCTGTGTTGTTGAGAAAACTCAACGCGGAGTTTTCTACGACGAGCGACAACGTTCGACAGGATGTGGCCGTCGACAGCGCTGCGATCCCACGGTTGGAAGTATTTCGAAATGTTGATGTCCTACCGGGTGATTTGAATGAATTTTTTTTTTGTATAAGGACTTCGAATGGACTCCCTCAATGGAGGGAAGGCGGCATGGGCAAGCGCCACAGAGTTGAGAAAGCTACCCTCCACGGTCGAGGGTAGGTTTGTCAACATGGTCGATGAGAAATTTTGCGGTTTTTGGAATTTTTAGTCGCCATCTGCTGTTCCCCGTTTCTCGTATACTGCGTCAGGCACTTCGTCAGTGCAATGAAAGCCGTAACTGTCGTGCGTGGGCTCTATAAGGCCTCGCTCCGTTGCTCACCACATGCACAAACAAAAGAAAAAAGAAAGTCGATGTATGTTTCTGTGTTCTTGGCTATATTCATTGCTCTTTGGACCCACTTCGACGTCCTCSTGTTTCCACATCATGGGGCCTCGCTGCACTACTCTCGACATGCACAAAAGACAAAAATCATTGCAGTGCATCTTTCCATATTCTAGGGGAAGATTCACTCTCGTTTTGCACATTTCGAGAGTAGTGCRGCGAGGCCCATATGGTACTTCAAGATACGCAGAATCCTCGACAGAAACCACTATTTTCGCATCATTTTCTTAAAATGAWTAAAAACTGCTACGAATAAATCTGAAATGCATTTTTCGGATTTAAAAAATGCGGTAAATGGTGTCACACCGTTGAGGTTTCTCAACTCAACGGCCGTAGGTGGGACCAGACCCCTGCTCATGGGGGACAGCAATATATTTTTCTCTCTCACCTCACTTATCTTCTAAGGGCCTAGTTGCACTACCGCCATAGGCCAAGTTTGGCGAGTAGGCGCCTGGTTGCACTTACTCGCCAAACTTGGCGAATGCAAAATGTGTCAGACGGCTCGCCACACCGTCGAGTCGCGTCGTGGAGAGTGAATTCAGTTTCCCCGCCTGTGCACGGCGGTTTGTGGAGGGTGGTCTTCGGACCTCGCCACAAAACAGCTTTCTGGAGAGTGCAGGGCTTCACGAGTCCACATGGGGGAGACAAAATTTTTTAACGTTTCTGTAGAAGAAATCTTGTGGCGAGTACGTGCAACAAGGCCTCGAGTTCGACACGATTCTCATATTTTTCACTCGCCACGGATCCGCCACGAAATGTGACGGATGGTGAGTTGTGCAACTAGGCCCTAACTGGCATTCTTTTTTTTTTTTTCCAAAAAAAAAGGCTGAGGCCAGGGACCTCACAATTCAACCGGGAGTCACCGAGAACCTTGCTGGAAACCACGTCCAGCGTCCCAGGACCCCTCTACTCTCAACAGAAATAAAACTTCTCAAAAACGAGAAGCTCAATAAAAGGTGGCCAAATTACTAAAATCCTTCAGCCAGTGAATATCCAAAAACATTTTGAACATTCTACCTGCTCACAGCCCTGGGCTAAACTCAAAAATGAACGACCTTTGCTCATTCTGATGAACCTTAAACCACCCGTACCTCCCCGTTGTTTTTTTGAAGTCGCGGCCGTTAACGCGCCGCGACTTTTGGGGGTCGGGCGAACGAACACCCGGTCGGTGAAATTCCAAAGAAAATAAGAAACGAAAAGAGAAAACACAGAAAAAAAAAGAAAAGAGATTTGAAACGAAACAAAAACGACAGAAAAATGCAGGGCGCGCGCGGTGGGTGTTTGTTCCCATTTTCCACATCTCTATACGGGCGGAGAGAGAGAGAGAGAGAGAGAGAGAGAGAGAGAGAGAGAGAGAGAGAGAGAGAGAGAGAGAGAGAGATCCATCAAAACCTTCAACGAAGCAAGAAGAGGATTAAACATGGAGTCCAAGTACGCAAAGCAAGCATTCGCATGACCACACTTGATCCGAATACATACATCAGAAAGCTCATGCACTCTTTAAGAACTCCATCACAACACTCCTCCCTTTAGTACGCTCTGCCCCGACGCGTTTCGCTGTCGGCGTACCTTCGACAGTCTCATCAGGGGGCTCGACCAGAAGGATAGCTTCGACATGTAGCTCTGAGATGGTAGTTCGTTCTACCACCTTCACTTAAATAGCCTTCTCGGTGGGCACATCTACTATAATCTGCGAAGTTCCTACTCTAAACCCAACTCTACCCTACACCCGATACTACGCGTACTCCTTTGCCACTTACCTCGTCCCTCCTGTCCTCATAACCTCGTTCCCACGTCCGCATCTGTCCTTCATGCCGTCCCAAAACACTTGATATTGTGCACTCCCTTACCCGCATCCCCCGACTGCTTTTGCATCGTTGTTGCCTACTTACCTCCCTTCCTGAACCGCCAGTTGTCTCTGCCCCTCCCATCTTACCTTTCCCTTCCTCTTCCACCATCACCTTTCGTCGTCGATCTTACTAAGTCCGTCGATTCGTGAGTTTCGCCTAACCCGTTCCGCTCGTACTCTCTTGTCTCTTCCACCTCACTTTCCTTTTTGCCTTTCGCCAACCTCACTTCTACTCTGTTTTTTCTTACTGTGTTTACCCACCTCGTAGATGCTCCGTAAGTACCGCTGACGGATGTCTTACCATATCTCGCTCTTCTCCGTCTAACCGCCATTCGCCACCTTCCTTCTTACTAATTCTGCTCCCTCTGTCCGCTGAGTAGGAAAAGGCCTTTCGTAGGGTCTGTAGTGCTCGATTGGGCACAGCCTTGACCAAATTGGTCAGGGCACYGRGAGAGACCTCCGGGGGGTAACCCCGGAGGTCCGCTTCGCAAACAGCAAAGCCAATAGCACCCAGTACTAGCTCCTTGCTCGTCGCCTGGTCCCACAGTCTTCTAATCGTGGTTGTCAATACCGCCTTCTTCACGCATTTCGCTGAATATGAGTTGTAGTCCTGCATCGTCTGGAAGCGAAGTTCTCCGTCTGCATTCAKGCTTTCCGAATTTCTTGTACTTGGTATGTAGTGAAGCTGAAGTGGCGATCTACAGATCATCATTTCACCTCCAACGAACTGCCACGTCGTCCCACAGTCGTCCTTTCGCACTATCTCCAGATTCTTGTCGTAGATCCCTTCGAAGGATTCGAAGAGATCTTCGCGGTGTCCAGCATTGYCGCCTTGTCCCATTACTCCGACGATCACGGTGATGTCATCCATCACTCTCCAGCCGCCCACAAGTCTTCTGTCGCTTCCAAGCTCATTGATAAAGCGCAGTTCCACCATAGCACAGGTAATCGAGGCTAGGATCGGGCTTGTCGACTTCCCCATCGGAATTCCAAAAATTTGCCTGACTATTTTATCTCCGCATTTAACGACCGAGTGTCTCAGGTCGTATCTTACGCCTTCCAGAATCAGCTTCAGTGGCAAGCTAACATAACCGTCCGTCTTTCTCTTGTTATCACTAATAATACAGTTTYTCCCCCTCCGAGACACTYTGACCTGCTTACTTCCCTTGTTCTCATAGATCCTGAGAAGCTGGTGTACCGCCTGAATCACTGCTTCRTGCGGGATCCGCGAGAACATGTCTTTGATATCATAACACCTCCCGATAGCTTGGTCGCACCCCGCKGCTCTAAAAYGTACTGCAGTTCCTRCGAGTCTCTTTGTTAGTTCCGAGATGGAGTTCAAGTAGAATGTGCTGTTCGCCGGTAACCGTTTCAGCATCTGATGTAGAGCGCGTGCCAATCTCCGTTGTGTCAAAGCAGCTGGATCAGCCGGTGCGGGCGCTATTGGTCTCCATCGTGTCAGATCCTTATGCTTCGGGATCACGTATGTCGTCCCCAGGCGTCCGTCAGGCCTCCAGCTCCCGATTTCAGGTAATCCACTCTTCTTAAAATCTTCTCTGCTCTCCCTAAGGACCTCCTCCTCGGCGGGCGCCATCGTTTCATAGTTTGTGTTCCAGGTGAAAGTCTTCCCAAACCATGACAATAGACTATCGGGCACATCACCGCTGTGTCTCCTTGATTACGATCTATCGGAGAGAGTACCAGGCCGTCAAGCCGCCTCTTCCAACTAAGAACCTCATCATCCTTCCACGTCGTACTCGAGCCTTGCTCTGTAATCCATATCTCACTTGGGTCTACGGTCTACCATCGGTGTTTCAGTCACCTTCAAATGTGTGGTTGCCGCTAGCACCGCTTTGGCCATCGTAACTGTGTTACTGGCTTTGGCAGGTCTAGTTACATTCCTGGAATTCCTCATGAAAACAAGAACCTCCATCTCCGAGAATCGCGTCATCACGTGCGCGTCCACCTTCTGCAAATCGAGCTTCGCGCACGGGCAGCTATGTTCCTTCATGCACGCAAAACCCTTCTGGTTGTGAATTAATTGCGCTACGCTCCGGTTCTTCAGCCAGAGTATCCGAATCCTGGTCTTAACGAAATCCGCGAGGGGTTTGTCTTCGATCTCCCGCTCGATCACCTCCTCTGCTAACCTCTGCACGCCACCCTTCCGGATTCACGAATCGTAGGGCAGCTTGATATTCACCCTCTTTCTCACACTCACTCCCGTCCTCCGAGCTATGACCCTACACGTCTGCAGTCTAAAGGAAGCCTGAACTACCTTGACGGGTTTCCCACCACGCACTCTTAGATCTTCGATAAGATCTACGGTCAGTTGAACCAATATCACCATGGATACAGTTCGAGTTTGCTTCCTATCCTAATGATACCAACTGCAAGGAATAGCACTCCCACCACCAACGGTGGCACTCACGCCGCCTCCGTAGTGCCGCTACCCATGAAATCCTACCCCTTAAGTGCGAGCGGCCCGCGGGGGGAGGTTGTGTTCTTCTGCGCACCGGAACCGGGGCGAAGTTTTGATTCGGGCTGGCGGATGAAGGCGATCGAGGGAGGGGCGGTGTGCAGAGTGGTGCAAGTACCGAATTGTTCACAACGCGCCATTAAACGTGAGAGCGCGCCCCCGGGGGGGGGCACACGGCGGGCGTCGATGCGGATGAACATCT